ATGGTTGTTTCTGTGACTGCAAACAGGATTCCAGGATAGTACATTGCCTCCCTGGCACTATGGTCAAGGATGTCTGAGTGGTTACAGGACATTCTGGAAGAGGAGGAGGGTAAACAGCCAGTGGTCATGGTACACATTGGTATAAATGACAGGCTTTTTATGAAAAAGGGTTGAGATCCCCAAAACAGAAGATATGAAGTAAGTTGAAAAGTATGACCTCAATAGTAGTAGTCTCAAGATCGCTGCCAGTGTCATGTGCAAGTCGGTAGAAATAGCAGAATATATCAGCTGAACACATGGCTGAAGAGACGGTGCATGAAGGAGGGCTTCGGAGTCCTGAGGCATTGGGAGTAGTGCTGGGCAAGGTTGGAAGAGTGCAAACTGGACAAGTTATGCTAGGGCAGGACTGAGACTGAAGTTCTGGGATGGAAAAGAGAGGGAAGAGAGAGAAAGTATTTGCTAGAGTGGTTGGGAGACTTGACACTAAAACAGCAGGGCAATGGGATAGGTAGTTAAATCAAGGCCACAGTGAAATCTAATAGAAATGAGACAAGCTTGTGCAGAGCATTTTCAGTAAAGTGGATGAATTTATCATCAGTTGATGAAAATGGGAATGATATAATCAGGATTACTTGGCTGCTAGGTGACCAGAGATGGGAAATGAGAGAGCCCCCTTTCCCCATTCCTGTAACCTCATATTTATCATGGCTAATCCATCAAGCCTGCATGTGCCTGGATGCTACAGGGCAATTCACTACAGCCAACTTACCTAACCTGCACATCTTTCAACTGAGAGGAAACCTGAGCATGCCCATGCCGACCTGCGGATAATGTGCAAACTCCACACACAGTCATCCAAGGCTGTGTGGCAGCAGTGCAAACAACTAAGCCACCATGCTACCTGCTGTAGTAGTATGAGGCCCCTTGAGGACATTTGACCATAATATGATGGAATTCCTCATCAAGGTGGAGACTCCTGTAGTTGATTCTGAGACTAAGGTCCCAAATTTAAATAGCTCCTACCTCATATCATCATTTCATCTATGATAAATTGGACAATGTTACTTAAAGGGATAATCGTGGAAAAGCAATGGCAATCACTCAAAGAGTATATGGATGAATGGCATTGTTCATTGTCTATCAAAAAAAATTCCCACATGAATATTTTTTTTTAAAAAAAGCATAGCTTACAAGGGAAGTTAGAGGTGGTATTAGATCCAAGCAAGGGATGGAGTGCAAAAATACCTGTAAATGGGGCATTGTAGAATTCAGCAAGGGAGGACAAAGTGTTTGATTTAAGGGAAAATAGAAAACAAGAGTAAGCTTGCAGAGAACATAAAAACTGACTGTAAAGTTTGTATAGATATGTGAAGAGAAACTGTAGATACCTTACAGTTGGGAACAGGGTAGTTCATAATGGGGAGCTAGGAAATGGCTGACCAATTAAATAAATACTTTGGTTCTGCATTGGTGAGCACAGGTTTTAGTGAGAGAGGGGAACTGAAGGAAATATGTACGAGTAGAGGAATGGTGTTCGGGAAATTAACACTTTAAAGTTAACTGGCCCTCAAAATAGCGGATATGTTGGTCATCTTGCAAGATTCTACAGACTCCGGAACAGTTCCTACAGATTGAAAGGTGGTTAATGTCTTTTCCAGTTAACATCTTGGACTGTGATCGGATCACCCATTAACCTTCTAAATTCTAGTGAAAGTAGACCTAATTTCTATAATCTCTTCTATTACTTAACCCCTGAAGTCCAACTATCATTCTTGTAAACCTACATTGTACTCCCTTGAACGGTGCTGCCCTCACAACTCCAAGTGGGGTCTAACCAGGGTTAGTTTTGAGAGATGTCCGCAGTGATTGTGAGTATGTTGTCTTTGTTTTTACAGTTGCCTCCAGTGAATTGGAAGTAGTAAATGAAACACCATGATCAGAGAGAGGGTGAAAAAAAGGAAACTGCAGGGCTCTTAGCTGGATATCCATGTTAGGAAAATGCTAGAATCTAGATCTTGCACTCATCAGGATAATTGCAAGATTGTTAACGAGTGTGCACGTTTCAAACAATCATGATTCTGTGATCACAATAATTCATAAGATGCTTTTTTTTTCTGGCAAATTGACTGATTGGATGAGGCATTATAATGGATAGAGCGATGGGGAATCATAAGGTCTGGAAGCTCTTAAGTAATTTGAAGAAAATGCAAGGTTTGAATAATCTGCGGGTTTGGGGCCTTAAGGTTCCATTGCTTTTTCTTTGCGATTCCTATTGTTATGCCTTGGTCAATCAATTAGCACAATTTTCTCCCATAATAGATATTGTTCATAGTTTGAAATTTGGCATTTGTCCATTGAGGCCTTCACTCTCACAGTCATTCTTGCAGATCTGAGGGATTGTGACAATTTTCAAGCCTCAAAATGGGGTCACAGTGGGAAAATAAATATAGAATATAAGTACTTTCAATAGAAATTAAATGCTTAAATATTTGTTTTCATAAGGGGAAGGATTAAGTACATCAGTGAAACTAGATTTGCAAAGAGACCAATAAAGTCCTACGTGCAGGAGCAAGGGCATGTGTTGGCATAATGGATGAGGAATCATTGAGAATGTGTGGCGTCATAAGGTGAGATTTGAATCATTTGGGACAATGGAGCTATGTAGAGATGCATATTGAGACAGGGAGGTTATGAATCATAGAATCCCTACAGTGTGGAAGCAGGCCATTCGGCCCATCAAGTCCACACCACCTGTTCAAAGGTCGTCTTTACCAGACCTAATCCTGTAACCCTGCGTGTCCCGTGGCTAATCTACCTAGCCCACACATCCCTGGACACTATGGGCAGTTTAACATGGACATTTTTGGATTGTGGGAGGAAATTGGAGCACCCGGAGGAAACCGACACAGTTGCCTGAAGCTGAAATTGAACTCTGGCCGCTGCTGCTGTGAGGCAGTGGTGCTGCAGCACTGAGCCATTGTGCCACCCATGAAAGACAATAGTATTGGACAATGGAGTATAAGAGTGGCCTGGAGAATATGAAGGATTGTGGGTTGATAGTGAATATGCAGGGTGTGAAGTGGCTGGTTGGGACTGGAGTTGAAGAGAGTTGAGAGGTGAAGTGTGGAAGTCTGTTATTTAAATTTGTTTTTTATAACTGCAATTCAGTGTTCATGCATCAAGGCAGGCAGTCAACACAGTTTGCCATCAAACCCAGCACTTTCCACATTTGTTCCCCATGAACTCAGCCTGGAATGAGTATCTTAGCCTCAGGCCACCTCCCAGGTATGTTTCACAGAATCAGGAGATATCCTGAATCTGCATTCTACAACAGGAAATGAGAATCCAGGCCTAACTCACTGCAAAAGGTAGGTCACTGATGTTGATTTTATGTCGAAAAAGAAATAGTCTATTGGACAGTTTGGTCACGAAAGTAAAGATAATACATTGGCTCAGATGTTGTTATAAAATTAACAGTGAGACTCAGTGCAGATTGATAACTGTTACTACAAATAAAAAGGGCGATTGCTTCTGGCATCCGCATTTTAGTGAATCACTGAAATCAGAAACTCACTGATTTATCACCCTTTCCCAACCAGCGAACTGCCTATAATATCAGTTTTGTGAATGCATTTTATTGATTGTATGCAAACAAGTTAGTTCGCCCTCATTTGAATGACAATGAGCCAGTGATGAGCAAAGTGTGGTGAAACTAAAAATTTGCCCTGTTGTTTCTTGCTTATTAATGTGGAACTTTAGCATTGCCATCTCCTTTTCTCTATTGTAATGCCGATTTTAAAAAAAAAAATTTTCTTTGTTCTTAAATTTGTTGGTTCTTTGCATTGATCAGCTTAACATGAACATAACGAGCAATAATATTATTAAACAAAATGCAGTTATACTACAAGGCAAATATAAAATGAATAAATACACATGATTGAATTTAATTCAAAGATGCAATGGATTATAGTATGGAGTTGTGCAAGAAAAATCACAAAGGATTTGTGTTTGATGTATGATAATGGCTGTTCCTGTTCAACGCTATATTGGCAGCAGAAGTATGTGGAACAGTGGCTGAGAATCTGATCTGTTCATCTCCAGATTCTCAATCAAAATAAGATCAACATCCAAGGGTTTCACTTTGATTTTGAGTGGTAGTGTAAAATGGGTGATAGTAAAAATGACAATTGGATGAGATGTCTCACAGGCAGCTAAATTATTATCACTTATTTTTCATCTGTGAATCAAAATCACCCCATGACTTCCAAGATTCTGCATCAGGATGAATGAGATAGACAGATTATAGGTGTTATATAAGGCAAGTTCTAGATACTTTCTCATAGTTGAGAATCCACAGCAACAAATTACCTGTAGTCCAAAACTGACACTAAATTGCCAGATTTGCTCAGAATGGGCAAAAGAATGGCTGCTGCAAGAGCTGAAAATTTACACAGATGCCATAGGAGATTCTTCTTTTTTGAGAAATAGTCATGTGCCACCAATGGCAAAACAGCAGATACTGTACCCTGCACTGGCATTTTTGTGAATATGTGATGATGACGTTGCGGGCAAAAGGTGTTATGGGTTACTCTGTAGCTGAAGTTGTATTCCTGCGTAAAAGTAGGTATTGTACAAGTTGTTATAACTGTAAGTGAATATCACACAAATTCCACAAAAAAAGGAGCTAAAGCCTGAAAAATGCTGCTTATTAGACTGAGGAAAATTTAAGAAAACAAATATTCTTATGCAGAGGTTAATTTCTAGATTTTTATTTTGCTTCGTATGAAATATTTTGATCAATTAAAAGAAATATGAATTTGTTTTTTGTCACGATTAACAAGCTACAAATTAAATGAAATCTTTGTTTTGCAGTTATGCTGCAAATCTTTTAAAAGCATTTAAGTCAATAATTGATGGCCCAAGGTGATGTGATGTATAGTTGTTTTTCACATTAAATAAACCGGAAAGTAATGGTAAATCTGGTTCTTGTTGCTTTTCAGTATACTACGGTCAGGATAGTTATTTTGGACCCTGTGAAAACAAGTACTGTGGGCTTGGCCGACATTGTATTGTAAACAAAGAGACAGGACAGGCGGACTGTGCATGCATGGAGCGGTGTAAGCCCAATTACAAGCCTGTGTGTGGCTCTGATGGGGAACTTTATGAAAACCATTGTGAACTTCATCGTGCTGCCTGCTTGAAGAAACAAAAAATTTCAGTTGTCCATAATGAAGACTGCTTTTTCAAAGGTAGGAATCTTTAAAAATCAAAATTTAATAAATTTAATAATATAATAAAAATTTTTAAAAGTTGCAAAGTCATGTTTCTGAATTCAAGCAAGTCAAAAATGTATCCTTTTCTGCCTGTGATTCAACTGGATGTCAGAACTGAGCTATGCAAGAGAAAAAAGAAATGTGGTGTAGTACAGAAATAGTAGCTCAATTTTTTATTGTGAAAATTTTCTGTTTCATGTTTCTGAATGAGAGATATAAGATTATATTTCTTAAGAACACTTCTGAATAAATGGGTTACAGGATGCAAAAGTAAACTGAAGGGTAATTTTTTTAGTTATCTGAAATAAGTATGCTGTTCACTAGACCACGGTGCACACAAACAACTTACTGATTTTTTAAATGAGAACCAAAAGAACTGCGGATGCTGTAGATAAGGAACAAAAACAAAGTTGCTGGAAAAGCTCAGCAGGTCTGGCTGCATCTGTGAAGGAAAAAAACAGAGTTAACGTTTCGGGTCCGGTGACCCTTCCTCAGAACTGGTTCCGGGTCACCGGACCTGAAACGTTAACTCTGTGTTTTCCCTCACAGATGCACCCAGACCTGCTGAGCTTTTCCAGCAACTTTGTTTTTGTTCCTGATTTTCTTGTCTGTGATTGGAATTGTGTGTAAGCTCATTTCATAGAGCAGTAGTTCCACCAAATTGCTTTTAATTTAATAAAATGCTCAAGCATTTTGTGAACAAAGTATTGTAGCTGCCGGATATCTGAAGTCAGAAGAAAATTAATGGAAAGCCTCAGAAGGAGAAAAACAATTAACATCTATTTTAGAACTTTCTGATGAAATATCATCAACCTGAAACATTTACTGTTTTCATCCACATCTAATTGATCTGCTGAGTTTTTCCAACATTTTGTTATTTTGCAGGACTATTGTCAAATGAAATTTAATGTGAAAGTACAGAAGGAGATATGAGAACACACCTAAAGCTTAGTCAAAAGGAGAGGTTTTAAGGAAAAGAAAGATAGAGGATGGGGGTTTAGCAAGGAAATTTGACAGTTGAGAACAAAGAACAAAGAAAATTGCAGCACAGGAACAGGCCCTTCGGCCCTCCAAGCCTGCGCCGATCCAGATTCTCAATCTAAACCTGTCGTCTATTTTCCAAGGATCTGTAACCCTCTGCTCCCTGCCCATTCATGTATCTGTCCAGATACATCTTAAATGACGCTATCATGCCTGCCTCTACCACCTCCACTGGCAACGCGTTCCAGGCACCCACCACCCTCTGCGTAAAGAACTTTCCACGCATATCTCCCTTAAACTTTCCCCCTCTCACCTTGAAATCGTGACCCCTAGGAATTGAGTCCCCCACTCTGGGAAAAAGCTTCTTGCTATCCACCCTGTCTATACCTCTCATGATTTTGTAGACCTCAGTCAGGTCCCCCCTCAAACTCCGTCTTTCTAATGTAAATAAACCTAATTTACTCAACCTCTCTTCATAGCTAGCGCCCTCCATACCAGGCAACATTCTGGTGAACCTTCTCTGCACCCTCTCCAAAGCATCCACATCCTTTTGGTAATGTGGCGACCAGAACTGTACGCAGTATTCCAAATGTGGTCGAACCAAAGTCCTATACAACTGCAACATGACCTGCAACTCTTATACTCAATAGACCGTCTGATGAATGAAAGCATGCCGTAAGCCTTCTTGACCACTCTATCAACCTGCGTTGCTACCTTCAGGGTACAATGGACCTGAACACCCAGATCTTTCTGTGCATCAATTTTCCCCAGGGCTTTTCCATTTACCACATAGTTCGCTCTTGAGTTGGATCTTCCAAAATGCATTACCTCGCATTTGCCCGGATTGAACTCCATCTGCCATTTCTCCGCCCAACTCTCCAATCTATCTATATTCTGTTGCATTCTCCAAAAGTCCCCTTCACTATCTGCTACTCCACCAATCTCAGTGTCATCTGCAAACTTGCTAATCAGACCATCTATACCTTCCTCCAGATCATTTATGTATATCACAACCAACAGTGGTCCCAACACGGATCCCTGTGGAACACCACTGGTCACAGTTCTCCATTTTGAGAAACTCCCTTCCACTACAACTCTCTGTCTCCTGTTGCCCAGCCAGTTCTCTATCCATCTCGCTAGTACACCCTGGACCCCATGCAACTTCACTTTCTCCATCAGCCTACCATGGGGAACCTTATCAAACGCCTTACTGAAGTCCATGTATATGACATCTATAGTTCTTCCCACATCTATGAACTTTGTCACTTCCTCAAGTATCAAGTTGGTAAGACACGACCTTCCCTGCACAAAGCCATGCTGCCTATCACTAATAAACCCATTTTCTTCCAAATGTAAATAGATCCTATCCCTCAGTATCTTCTCCAGCAGTTTCCCCACCACTGACGTCAGGCTCACTGGTCTATAATTACCTGGTTTATCCTTGCTACCCTTCTTAAACAAGGTGACAACATTAGCAATTCTCCAGTCCTCCGGGACCTCACCTGTGCTCAAGGATGCTGCAAAGATATCTGTTAAAGCCCCAGCTATTTCCTCTCTCGCTTCCCTCAAACCTGGGATAGATCCCATCTGGAGCTGGGGACTTGTCCACCCTAATGCCTTTTAGAATACCCAACACTTCCCCCCCCCC